TGTGAGCTGGTTGGTGGCCTGAAAGAAAGATCTGAGTGTATTCAAGTTGGATTAAAGATATCATAAATTCTGTGAAGAGAAAGCTGTGAAGTTTACTACAATTTTATATTTCAAAACAGTATTCACTGTACTTAGAAAATACATTTAGGAAGACAAAAGATACAAGGGAGGCATAACTTTTTTTTTCTTCCTGATAAACCCACTTCATAGAGTCAGTGTGAGTTTATTTTGGTTCTGCCTATGACAAAGAAACCTGCTCCAGGAAAGGCAAATACCTTGAGCCTTCTGCTGCAGCCAAGCAATGACAGAAGCCTTTGGATTAGTGAAGCAGGACACACTTAGCACCAGGGACACACTGTCCTCACTGACATTCCCTTAGAGATCTTGGACTCTGCTGTGAATTACACCAAACACACGAACAAGCAAACAAAACCACGGAGCAATGCAGAGGCTGAGAATCCAGAACACTAGACCTCTAAGGTCAATCACCTTATTCAACACTGCTCCACAGCTCCCTTCATTTCTAGATTCAGAAATCCACATTTCAGTCTCCAATGATACGAATCAAAAACTGTCTGAGGCTATTTAAGGGTGAGATGCTTCAGAGAAGCTAGCCACCACAGACTCAGTTTCCACACCTACCCCTTTCCTCCTCCCCCACATTGCATCTGTCTTTTTGGTTGACATTGGGAAGGTTCATCTTAGATCACAGGAGCCAAAAACCTCACATTTGAGTCAAAATGTTCTCTGTGTGGATATGTCAAGATAACCCTTCACTCATCAAGCATTACTCACATCATTGATTATTTGGCAATTTTTAAATTCCCCCTTCCCACCTTATGGTCAAGGAAAAAAATCCTCTCTGCTATATAATGAATTCATCAGTTTTATTAAACATTTTGGGGAAAATGTACAAGGTGGTTGGCAGCAGAAGAGACAGCATGAACCCTATATTCTCACATTCAGGTATACAACTAATGAAAAACCACTCAAGGAACATGCAATATTCAGCAAAGCATCTACACGAAAATTGACTTCTGGAGTAGTGATGACACCCCGAGAGTGTCAGTTGAAATGAGCATGAAACATGATATTAAACTGAATTGACTTGGAAGTCAAGTGGCTTATCATTTCACGTGGAAGAAGTTAGGAGCTGATTCATTCAGCCACTCGACAACATCAGAGACCTCGGCTCCTTCCTGTCTTCACTTGGTTTTATCTTGGTCCTCAGGCTTGTGTTTGCAGGGTTGCAAATGTCTACACCAACTATTCCACAGTATTGACAGTGAACTTACTGCATGGAAGGAAGATGGTCGCTCCTCTTAAAACAGAGGGAAAAGGCCTCTTCCACAAGCCCTCAACTAACTTCCACTGACAGCTTCTTGATGGGAGTGTGTAATATGTCAATTCCCAAGGTAAACAGATAGCCTGGAAAAGGGAGTTAGATCAGTTTAGGACAGCATGATCCCATCCCTAAGTCCATGATACTTAAATGTTAAGGAATTTTCATCCTTTCATTCTGAAATCAAAATTTTTGCTTCTCAACATTTACATGAGTTGAACCTATTGTTTACTTACTGAATGAGTGCTGTGGAATATTAGTTTAAGGTTTGTTACATTCATTTATGCAGTGGAACATTTGTTTAATGATGCAAAGATGTGTTGCATTCTTCTATGTTGCATTTGTTTAACTCTGTAAAGCTGTGTGCCACTTTGCCTGTCTAAAATACCTGATTGGTCTAATAAAGAGCTGAACAGCCAATAGCTAGGCAGGAAAAAGGATAGGCAGGGCTGGCATGCAAAGAGAATAAAGAGGAGGAGAAATCTAGGGAAGAGAGTGAGGAGAAAAGGAAAAGGAGAGGAGGATGCCAGGGGCCAGCCACACAGCCAGTCACAGAGTAAGAAGAAAAGAAAAATATATAGAATAAAGAAAGGGGAAAAGCCCAGAGGCTAAATATAGTTAAAGAGAAATGGGCTAATTTACGTTAGAAAAGCTGGCTAGAAACAAGCCAAGCTAAGGCCAGACATTCATAAGTAAGAATAAGTCTCCATGTACTTTTTTGGGAGCTGGGTAGAGGGCCCCCAAAGAGCTAAAAAACAAAACAAAAACAGCAACCAAAAAAACTACAAATGAATATTTATTGGGGGGGGACTCCTGTTCTGTAAAGGATACAGAGCAGACAGGATGAAGAGCCTGTATTCTGGGCAAGTCCAACCTACTGGATGTCAGGCTTGGAAAGAGAAGCAAGGCAAGCAAATGACGTGTAAAAGAGCAGTGCTCGGGGGAGGGAACCAAACGCTTGCTGGCCAAAGGGAGATTCTCCAGATGAGCAGGGAGAGAAGGCTGCCCCGTGCAAAGGCCCTGCACAGCACACCAGAGATCCATGTCAGTTCCCAAGGTAAACAGACAGCCTGGAAAAGGGAGTTAGGTTTCATGGATCACACCAGAGATCCATGTCAGTTCCCAAGGTAAACAGATAGCCTGGAAAAGGGAGTTAGGTTTCATGGATCACACCAGAGATCCATGTCAGTTCCCAAGGTAAACAGATAACCTGGAAAAGGGAGTTAGAGCTCATGGATCACACCAGAGATCCATGAAGACAGTCAGTGGGGGAGAGGGGCAGCGTGGAAGACACGGCCACTGGTCTGACAGGATTTACCAAGTGGGCACAGTCAAGTTCAGGTCACGGAGGGTTCTTCAGCTTCGGCACAACTCTATGCCTCTTCAAGTGTGTCGGCAAACAGGAACAAACAAGGAAGAAGCCTGAATATTTTTTAGAAGCTCACTTTGGCATGTGTGGGGGAAAAACAAAGCAAAACCTAAAATCAGTAGGCCTGCAAGCAGGCAGCTGTGAGGAGCCAGAAGTAACACTGGCACTTGGTACTGGGCATGTCTTCTGGCCTCTGTAGGACATAGAACTATTCCTAAATAGTCCAGGGCTATTTAGGAAACATGCAGAGACTCCCAGGATCCTAGACTGCTGGCTTGGCCAGTGCTCACTGAGGGCACAGATTCTCAAGGAAGATGGGTAAAATTCAGATTCCAAGTCTCTTGGTCTGGGGTAGGGGCTGAGGGTTTGTGGTCCCAGCAAGTTTCCAGGACGGCCAGTGCTTTGGGTGAGGAGGATTGGAGCAAAATGTGGCCTCAAATTTGGTCTAATGCTTGTCTGCTCTATTTACTTATACTTAGGACATGCTCCAGAAGAGGAGCCATATGCTGCCGTTCAAGTTGAATTAAATACTCAGCAAACGAGCTCCACCCATCATGTTTCTAACATCCCAGGGCCACAGTGGCCAGTGGCTTCCACACTGGACAACACATATGCAGAGGAGTTTTCCTCTGTGGAGGTTTTGCTTAGCAGCTCTCTGTAGAGAGTGGAAACGTGTCCCAGTTGGCAGGTTGTACCATGTGTTTCCATGTTTCCCCATTCTGGTCTTTCACAAGTCAGGCCTAAAGTCTTTTCTGCGAAGATCAGATTAACCTTTTACAAATTACCTCATGACTTCTTCTATCAAACCTTTCCTGAAAGTCAAATCAGGTATACTCGCTGCTTTCTCTAAATTTCCTATCTGCATTCGAATTTCCTCAGCAACATGTTCCTACTGTACTTTGCCTGACATCCGAAACGCCAACTCCTATCCAAAACACCCTTACCACCCTGAAGCCATTTCCATAGCTATAAATTCCCATTTTCCACGGGTCCACCCACTCTCCCATGTGGTTCACCAGCTTCAAGTCTGTGTCCTTAATGCAATCATTGGCATATGAAGAAGAGAGCCAATGCCGCTAACATGACACTAACTACAAGACATGTGACATGTGCTACCCACAATGACATAAAGGTGCTCTTTCTACCAGGGGCTCTGCGACGTCTACACACGGGTCTGGGTCGTCTGGTGCTCATCGTGCCAATGAACGGAAAGCCCGAGAATGAGGACAGCAGTAGCAAAGGCAAGGCAAGAGATAAAGGCCAAACCTGGAAAACCTCACACTTGATTTCTGCTGGATTGCGCGCGCACGCGCTGCACGCACGTTCTCCTGAACATCACTGACGGAAGGCAGTTTCCCATTTTAGATGGAGGCAGTTTGTACTGAAGGATTCTTGCTCATTTTGGCCTCAAGGCATTTGTGTTCAGCTTGTGACAGGACAGCCACACTTGCTAATTCCTTCTCTACTGTAGGTTTTGATCCAACCACTCAAAACCAGACTCACTTCAGCTGCTTTCAAATCAACATTTGTAGGATGTGTTATGAACACATATTCACCTAAACCAAAAATTCTTTACCAGGTTTATTAACATTTCTGTAACATGCTGATAATCAAAATTTATGGAGCCAAGGACTTACTTTGTATTACTTCCCAGGTCGATATACTTTTACATATTTGTGTATACATATTATAATTTGCTGAATTTCTTTACTGCATGTCACCTGAAATAAGTCTAAGCTTCCCAGTTAGCATGCACCTGTGCACCTTCAGGCCTCTGTCCTCACCAACTGGAGATTACTGGAGGAAGTCCTCAGCCCCTGCAGCTGTGTGTCAGCCTGGACACAGCAGTGGCAGTATCGGGCATTCCATCTTCCCACCAGCTTTACTTTCTGGATCAATTTACAGGAACCTTCTTAGCTTCATATGCTGGTTTCCCTCCATTTCCTGTTCTGTCCTGCTCTTTCCATGCATAGAATCTGACCAGAGTCTTCCTATCATGTAGCTGGCTAGAGATGGATCCATGGATTCAACAGCTGGACAGGGCTCCAGACTCCAATACAAAGGTCCTCCAAACAGGACGTGAAACTTACTAATATTCATCTGCCACCCGCTCACAGAACCGTTTACTAACTAGAGCTGGACTGAAGAACAATGGTGCCTTCACGAAGGAACAAAGAACAGCCGAACAGCCCCCCCCCCCCCCCGTCCCCGCTTTGCTCCACCCTTTGTTATAAATGTGTCAATACGTCTATTTACAAACAGGATTAAGAACTGCTCTAGAAGACAGTGCACAGGATAAGATTATATTTTATTAGAGATCTTATATTACATATTCCCAAAAAGTTATAAAAATCTTCCAAGAGAAAAATATCAAAACCTGTTGATTTCAATGAGCAAAATAATCAAAATGAAAGTAAACATTTTCTTCCAGACAAAGGACCGTGAAAACATTTCATCACAGGTACAAAGACACAGGGAGATAATTACGATGTCTTATAACATCTTACAGCATTTTATTTAAAATCAATATTTTTAGAAAAGAAGAACACTGATATTTGAACAATGCACCTAATAAACAAAATTAAAATTTCACGAAGTGAGGAGAGAACAGTAAAGCAACGCCTTGGTCCACTGAACATCTGTGACAATCCGTGTAATAAAATCCAACCAAACAGACCACTGAGGTCACGACGGAAGTGTGGCTGGCTGTTCATGTGTGCCAGAGAAACTGAATTATTTAGTTAATTCTTGACCATAACCCAAAGCAAAAAAAACCCTCTCTTCATTTCCCTGATGCTGTAGTCTGAAAATAACGTTAAAAAGCAGAAACTTGCTGGTTCCGTAGAATTTCTGCTTCACCTGTGAGTAAAGGGCTGGTGGCAGGAGCGCACACCGAGCCAGGGCCCCGACTGGCACAGAGCAGACCCATTTTTATTGCATCAGCTTTCATTTCATCCCGCCAGAATTTCTGCAGTGATGAAGTACCGTCACTTAACCACCGAACACAGTGAACACCCACAGGAAGCTATACCCTTAAGATACAACGAGAATACCGATCCTGTTCCTGGGATTTGCTCCCGGCTATCCTAGCCAATGTCCGCAGAGGTCTACAGAAGGAAAGGTGTTCTGTTGTATTTCAGATGCTTATTCCCCCACAAGTGAGGAAGGGAATGGACATCACATGCTTATTGCATGAAATCATACCCTTGCAGTACTGTTGTCGACTCTGGAATTGTTTCCTTGATGATTTATAGGCAAAGGAGTTCATGAGCAGAACCGAACAGTGAGTGTAGGAGCTGCGTCTAGAGTGAAAATCCAGAGGACTATCAGAATAAATGCTTTTCTCTGTAAGGGTATTGGAATGACAAGAGGTAAATGGAAGTTTGAAGTCAGAGAATACTAAACCAGGTTAAGACACTGAGGAGAATTTTTCAAAAGTGTACATATCCAGAGAGTTCTTTTCTATGCTGACATTAAATACTATTATTATATTAAAGAAACAATGATTTCAAATGAACTGAAAAGTCCTGTGATGGCACATGGGCTAGAATAACACACTGAGGTCACCACACACCAAAGTTTGGAACACAGTCTTTAGTAAAACACAGCACGATGAGCGACACGCAGTGGATTTTAAGACAGTCTCTTTTAAAGCCTTCTCTCTTTAATATGGTTGACTACTGTGAAATGCAAACAGGATTTGGATCTCATGTGTTACAAAATCCTTGCTTCAAGTCGCTGTTTCCTTGGCAGCAGCATATTTTAATTAACAATATTTTTCTTCCTTGTTTTGTTTTCTGACATCTCAGTACATTCAAATAGTCAAAATGTTTAGAGTAACACCACCACAAATTTAATGAAACCGATCAGAATGTGGCCAGCATTATCGAGCAAAAGTTACATAATTTACGTGTTATAGAAAGCACCCAACCCTTGCCCCTGCCTCCCCACCCCCCTCCCCTTCCCACACAGTAATATGGACACCAAAAGGTTTAACAAGACTTATAAAAAAATAAGGCACATTTATTTTTGATATGGTAATTTAAAAATAGAAAACCCCGCCTTGGAACACCTGTATTCAAATGAGCTGTGTAAAAAGACACCTCGTGGTACCGAAAATGGAATTGCTTCTTCTGTTTCAGTGACAATGGACTACATTGCACCCATCCCACGTTGTCAAGTAATGAAAATATGCCTCTTTTTCTACTGGCGAATGACTAAAAAAACCAGTTCTTTTTTTAAATGTACGGGTAGGAAATGGTAGTCGAAAGGTTCATTGGGAAGGAGTATGAAAATCAACGACATTTATCATAAGGGTTGAGGGATTGCACTTTGCCACATATTTTAAACACACACAAAAATTTAAATTTGTAGCAATGATCAATGATTACAACTATTTTGGCCATTAAAAACTATTATCCACCAACTTTTGTTTTCTTTTTTTCTTTTCTTTCTATTTAGGTCAAATGGGTATATTTTATAAAACCAATGATCAGAAACATAAATATTTTTAAGAATCTCTTTACAACCCTCAATTCAAACATAATTAGTTAGCATTTAACCTGAGATACAGTCTGTTGAGGGGTTGTCTTTCAATATTCCTTTTTTGTTGTTGTTGTTACATCAGTTCACACTGGTAGTAGTAGTTTGTGGGACAAACTCAGGAAAAGAAACCTTTTGAAAGCATGGCTTTTTCTTCTTTTCTTATTAGACTAGTTTAAAAAAAAATCACAGAATTCATGTTCTCCCAGTAGCCAGAAGCTAAAGTAATGTGCTTAGTTATTGCACGTAAAAACCAGGAGGGTAACAAAGCCAGAGCTTCTCCACTCCAAACCGAAGGAAGTCGGTTTCACCTCAGGCGGATCCGGAATGTGCTGATTTCCATGGGACTCAAGTTGATCTCACTCACATTCTGGGCACCTGGAGGCCAGTGCATCAAGGACAGGGAGGAAGGGACGAGGCTTTCCACAGCAAACTTGTTGAAAAGTTTGGGGACTGACATCTGAAAAAGCAAGTGACAAGATTTGCATATTCAGACCAACCCTGAGATTTGCATATTCAGATCAACCCTGAGATTTGCATATTCAGATCAACACTGAGTGAAGACTTGTAGCACATCTATAAAATCAATATAAGAAAAGCACAGAAAGGAATACATTTATATGGTGAAGTTCCCTTCTAAGAAAATGAAGGAAGAAGGACATTCCTGAACACATAAACTCTCTGGAGAGACACATGGCTGTGAGCCGTTCCTTTGCATTTCTTTTAGTATTATATGCAGACATTTTCAATATAAGAGAGGACAACTAAGAGCCAACAAGTCCCTACAGTCCCTGAGGGCTTTAAAATCATCAAATACTTTTGGTCAATATTTATCCCTAATAATGGTGATTCTAAACCAGTCTCCATACCCCTTTTCCTAAAGAATTGAAAAATAAGACACAGGTTCATTATAACAATGGCTCAATATATTACTGACCTCAATCTACAGGGACATCAGGAAAATATATTCTTCACCTTGCCAGGTTATCCTAAAGTGTCTCTTGGGATAATATGACTCTATTATCTCTCTTAAGACTAAATACCTCAACACTAGAAGGTTCATTACATATATTCAGATCATCACTAATAGAGTGGACATACACTGGAAAACACACACACACACACACACACGGAGAGTGGGACAACCACAGTCATCCAAGCAAACCCTCTTCTCAGACCTTAGGATGTGTGCTAACTTGTAGCATTGGATCAAGACTGCTTGAGTCTGTTCTGTGGTGTGCCTACGGAGTTAGTTCCGGCAGAGAATTGACTCTGCCAAGCTATGGGCAAGGACCAGGCAGCTGCTTTGTGAGTCACGGCTCACTTAGAGGCAGGAGGCTGGATGTTCATCCTTCCAAGGAGAGGCTGATGAACTGCCCGACGACCAACTTAAGGAGAAAAATCAAGAACAGGCAAGCAGCCAGCAGGGTGCAGACTAATGAGCCATCTGATCTCCACAGTGATGACTCAGACACAAATCTGGATCAATCAGGAGACCCAGACAAACATTTATTTCTCCAAATGAATCAACTGACTTGAGCTCTGCACAGCTGCCTCTGGGCTGTGTTCAATTATTCATTGACCATGATCTTGATGTTTATGCCATAACTTTATTGCTATGCCAATCATCAGTTATTTTGAAATTTGTCCCAGCCTTTGTGGAAAGTGAGTTCTACCTACCATGGCTAAACTACATGGTATGGGAGCATGGGTGGCCTGGATGAATGGAAAATGGGGAGAAGGAGATGTAAGGTGCTTTAGTCTCAAAACAGAAGACCAAAACTTTAGATGGAGCAAGTGTTTTCTGAAGATGAAGAAACTGCAGATGGCTTGCAGGCAGGCGGGAACAAAGGAGTTCTGGGCAAGGAAGGGCTAGATCGTCCTAGCTGCAGCAAGTGAGCATTTCAAA